ACCTTAAAACCTTCTCTTGTCCTACACCTGTGTGATATGACATTCTCTTGGGACAGTGTCCATGTAAACATAGCAGGTCCTCACTGACTACATCCCACAGGATCCGGGACTTGGAATCCCGATGCTTTCTGGATGGTTCTTTCCTCCTGCTTCCACTTACCCATTAGTACCCAGGACAGAAAGCAAGTTTTAATCTCCCTGGGTTCTTGACCCCATGGAGTAAAACCCTGAGCTAAGCCATAGCACTGTGTGGCTCTTGATATTGGCGTTCCCTTCCTGGTGCCAGCCCATGGGTCCCCATGATCCCTTTCTTCTACCCCCTGATGCAGTCGCACATGACTTTTCATATCTTTGCAGCCCCACCTTCCCCTTGTGGCCAGCCCCAAAGCAGGCTGCTTGAGACATGACTCATTCCTCCCCCTGCTTTTGGACATTCAGACAGGGGGACAGACAGCTTGGACAGAGATAGCAGCATGGGGGAGGGAGCCAAGAGGCTGTCAGATAAGCAGCCAGAGGAGACACTGGGGATGGTGATCTGCCTGCTGTCACTGTGCTCAGTGGCTCTATACATGCAGGTCAGATTATGTGTGTGGGGCTTGGATGATAAAGAGTGTTGCTCACTGTGTATACCAGAGTAGGAGTTCCTATGTGAAGGGCATATAGATTTAGGCCCAAAGTATAGATGCTGCTTAAAACACTTTGGGGCATGGACGGTGTAGGGTGTGAGGCCCAATCCCCAGCACCAAAACAAACTAGTCAGTGAAGAGAGAACAACAGATGCACACTACTTGTTTTTGAAATGGGATCTTATGTAACCCAGGCTGGTCCTGAACTCACTATGTAGCTAAGGATGACCTTGAACGATGAATTATCCTGCCTCTACTTCCCAAGTGCCAGAATGACAGATGTGCACAACCATGGTCAATTAATGTGGTGTTGAAGATTAAACCCAGTGTTTCTGCAAGGTAGGCAAACACTATCAACTGAGCCCCATCCACAACACCCCCACCCCTACTTTTTAACAGGATCTACCATAGCCCAGGCTGGCATTCAATTTACAGAACCCTGTTGCCTGAATCTCATGCTCAGATGTCCTGGTTTAGTGGGATGGGGTTCCATCTAGGTGTGGGGAGTCTGTAAACTTCCCAGGTGACTCTTCAAAGCCACTGAACCATAGCCTACTGGCATTCTTTCAGAGCTTTAGTTCAATCAGTCTGCTGAGTGTCAGCCCGAGGAAAGGCTCCCAGTGACACAGGTTAGCCATACCACACAGCCCATGCTGCTCATGGGACCTGCCAACCAAGTCTGGGCAACAGTGTCCCACAGCACACTGATGACAGCCTGCTTTACCAGTTTCTGGGCCAAGGTGGAAGCCAGGCAAGGAACAGTTAGTCAGTGTTGGATGCCTACCTGGAAAGGAAGACAGGCTGGGAAGAAGGGTGTAGGGCTGGGACCCCTCCTGCACAGGGGTGTCACGAAGCCCTGAGTTTGCTTAGTCTAAGGTTGACTGTTAGCAGGGGGTGGAGGGAAAGTGGGCACTGGCAGGCCATTGATCCAGCAGCTTCCAGGAGAAGGTGGGGGCTCACACCTGTATTCCATTACTTCAGACTGAGTGGGACAAAGGATCAAGAGTTCCAGGTTAGGCTTGTGTAACAGTTTACTTAGAGACTGAAACAGTCCATCCTCCAGGGAGGCCCCTGAAACAGGAAGTAAACAACTCAAAACAACCTCAGGAAGTCCCTGAAACTGACCAGATTCACTAGGCCCCCTCCTCACCAGAGTAAACAATAAAAGCCGAGCTTCAAAGAAGGCTCTGAAACCAGACCAGCTGCCAGGAAGAACAGCTGAGGCACTGGGAGAGGACACTCCAACATGTTGAGCGGCCTGCAGGCTGTGCAGTGAGCTTCAGCTCCCTGGCTTTGTGAGCTGTCACCCAGGCTGGGGTACGCCTTGGTGATGCAGTTGTCTTTGAGTCATTTCTGCTCTTGTAAGTAACCCCTCACCCATATTCCTGTAAGTAACCCCAATAACATTCACCGGTTCACCAAGTTGGGTGTTGGTGGTTATTTGCACTTTGGTCTGTTGTGGGATTGCTATCTGGGGAAAGTAGATCTGTGTATAGCATCTCTCCAAGAAAAGTTTTGTCATCCTACACAGAGAGACTCTGTCTCCAAACCATGAAAGAGAAAACAATAGTTTCAGATTAACTTGGACCACACAAGGGGTTCAAAGCCACGGTCAGTTTGGACTGTATTTGGAGACAGAAAGAAGACAGGTGACAATGAGGAACTCTAGTCTTTTCCAGGCTCAGTGTTGATTTTCTTTGGGATCTCTTGCCTACCCTTCAACCTCTTTAAGCTGAACAGGGAGGAAGCTGGCTGAAACGTGGAGTGAGGCAGCTTTGGAGCTAAGGGTTTCTTCATCCCCCGGGCACCTGACGCAGCTCTGGAAGCAGAGTGAGCACACCCACATACACTTTGCCCCATGTTCGGTTCTGCCCATGACCTCAGCACACTTACCAATACCAACACCTTTTACAGATGAAGAAATGGAAGCCCAGAGAAATCAAACAACTGGACGGAGTTTAGCCGGCTCACAAGTGGTGAACCAAACTTGCCTCATGCAGTCTCTACCGTCTCTCCCAGTGGTGATCAGATGGCAAACGTCACTATTCCCAAAAGGATTCAGGACTTGTTTTCCTAAAGCAGCCCCTAATGGGCAACGGTGCACAACAACTTTTAGGCCATTTTTACAGGAAAAATCATTACTTCTAGGCAGAACTTTCCAGTGGAAATCTAACAAAGGCTTTGAGGCAAGAGGCCTTGAGAACTGAGCAACAACAGCCAGTTGGGGAGGACGGGGCACACAGTGGCTCTGGCCAGTAGAGGCACCATGCTGGAGTAGACTAACACTGTCATCCCTAGTCCCCGTGTACCCCGTCCACCATGGCCTGAGCCAAAGAAGAAACCTAGACGTCCTCTGACAGCTGGCTTGCCACTTTCCTAATGCCTCCCCCCCCCACACACACACATGAAATTGGAGATGCAGAGGCAGGTGTGAAATACCAGCTCTGGGTCAGCAACTAACCTGAAAAGCAGACTTTTGAAAACCAGGTGAAAGTTTGAGCCCTTATGGCAGGCGATGAAAGTGAGCTCTTGCCATCAACTCTGAATGTTCCGTCCAACCGTCCAACCGAGCAGCCAGATGTCCCCCTCCCCATGCTCAGCCCAACCCCTACGGCAGGCCACTGCCACCCCACTGCAGGCTCCTCCTTCAGTCTTGCTTTCTTTCCTGTCTCCTTTCAGAGTGAAGCAATAACCACCTTTTGTAGCCAGAGGCTAGAAAAGCTCTGCTCCCGTCCATGCCCCGCCCGGCTTGGCTATCCTAAGTCTTGCCTAGGGATGGATAAATATTTAAGGCTCCAGGGTGGTCACAGGACCACTGGCCAGGAGGGTGGGACACTAACAACACATTCTGTGGCTAGCTTTTAGGTCAGAGGGCTTAGAGTGGAGATTAGATCCCTACTCGCGATTGATTTAGCCTCTATTTGCATCTTCCAAGCCCAGAACACCACAGATGAAATGTTCCTAAAGTTCTGGCGGACAAGCAGGGGGCATGATGGGCTACCAGCTCCCCTTTCTCCACATACTGGCTCATCTGCCCTACTTGCGCCTAAGATCCCAGCTTGGGCCTGTGCTGAAATTATGGTCTATCATACTGCCAAGTCCTCTGTCAGGATGACTCCCTGGGCCTGGGCCAGATCACCAGTCCAGCCTCGCCTCTACGGCACCCAAGGCTAGATGTACCCTGCACCTTTGCTAACTATGACACTCTTATGGGGTCTCTGGCTGGCTGCCCATACTCTGCCCCCCCCCCAAGGTCTCCAAATAACTCCCAGTTTCACAGAAACAAGAGAGAGGGAGCTGTTGGGTCCTGGCTCTCTCCATTTCCCAACTATTTAATATGCCTTACTTCTGTTCTCCCCAAAGATAGAGGGGCACAGGGCCTCCCCTTTGGGTGGGGGCGGGCCTGAGAGAAGCTGATTAGGAGATTCTCCCCTGAGCTCCGTAAAATAGGGTCTCAATCTATGGTTCAGCTAGCCTTGAACTTGCGTTCCTCGGGTCTTAGACTCCTGAGCACTGGGATGACAAGCGAGGAGGAAATTCTCCTTCACCAAAAACTTAGTCACTGCCTGTCACCCAGCACCCCTGGAGTTCCATTTCCTGACAATCCTATCACCTCTTCTCCCCTTCTGGTTCCCTCTACAACACCTCCCCTCACGGCAAAATTGTGGACTTCACTAGCCCCTGTCGGGCTTGGGCTGAGACACTGACAACCTTTTCCAAGTGAAGGGGGCCTCCCCACTCCCCCAACTCTTCCTAGGTCCTCTTGCTCCAAGCTTTCCAGCCCTCCAGGTCAGGGAGGAGAGAGCTGTTCCTAGGCTTGGGAGGGACCAGTCACAGATAGACAACTCTGTAGGGAAAATGGCCCCGGAATGGTGCTCCAGGGCTGGAGGTCTTGAAATCACTTCCTTGCCAAATACAGAAGAGGGAAGGGGCCTAACTTCATACCACACACAGAAGCGAGAGGGAGGGCCAAGGTCCCCGATGCCACCTGTGGATTTCCCCCTTCAGTCACAGAAACTACCGCAAGAAGGGAAGCGTTGTTAACGCGCACTTTTGTCCGGGTGTTAGTTGGGAGTGCTGAGAAAAAAAGCGAGCACGGAGCTGCTCAGTGCTTGGGAAGGACCTTAATTACTCAGAGCCAAGTAACAGAAGGTTGGAGGGGTTAGCACAGCAGTTGATTGACAAAAGGACCCAGATGTGGGTGCTGGAGAGTTACAGAGCCCGGCGTGACCTTGGACAAGTCATGTCCCCCCTTCCCGCGCTGTATTTCTCTTCTGCAGGCTTGAGGGTGCCTGCGACCTCCGACAGCTAAGCTCGAAAGCCTACCCCGCCCCGGGGAGGTGGGGTGGGACAGGACCGGAGAGGGCGCCTCACCTTCTTGAAATCCGCGGTGAAGGAGATGAGGGTGCCGTCGGGTTTGCGCAGCTCGAGGCTGATGCTGTCGGCGTCGCTGTCCGCCTGCAGGCTCTCCTCTGTCACCTGGCCGTCGGGCAGCCTCACACGGACCCGCAGCTCTGCTGGCACGCCGCTCCCCGCTCCCACGCCGCGCGGCGCCCCAAGCAGCAGCGGCGACAGTAGCAGCAGCAGCAGCGGCAGCGCGGGGCGCGCCGAGGGGACGTCGCGGCGGCCGGGGGGCCGCATCCCCGGGGGCCCCGGCGCGCCGCGTGGGGGAGGGGACACGCGCCTACAAAGTTCGCCCGAAGTTAGGGGTCCGGTCCTGGGATTCCCGGCAGTCGCCTCCTCAAGAGGGGAGACTCAATCCCGATGTCCCCACGACGTGCTGCCAACGCACGTGGGCCGCGATCAGCCACGCACCCCGAGTCGCGGACAGTGCCCCCACTCCGGTGCGTGTCCCCCAGTCGCCGCGGCCCCAGCCGCCCGAACTCCTGAGCTCCCGACTCCGTTCAGCACTTTTCATTCAATCCCACCCCCCGTCACTTCCTTCAGAAAACAGAAACCACCAGGACCTGCCTTAAAGAGACCGCGCACCTCTTGGCCCTTAAAGGGACCGCTGTGGCCCAGAAAGGGGCGGGACTGGGGACCGCGGCTCAACCGCTTTGTGGCCAACGCTGGCTTTTCTCTGGGTCCCTCCCTCCCGCCGCGCCCCGTCACCGGCTAGGCCTGGTCCAGAGTTTGCGCTCCCGGCAAATCCCTTCCTCCCATTAAGGGCGGGACGGGTGACTCTTTCCCCCGCCCCCCACACCCCTCTGGCTTGTTCTGGTGCCACGTGGATGAAATAATCAGGCTTGGATTTTCAGGGGTTTTGCTTAGTCTTTTAGTTTCTCTGACACAGCGAATTTGTCAAATGCGGCTGGAAAAAAAAATCAGGCCTCACCTCGCACTCTAGCTTTTCCTAGGTGGGGGAGTGGCGTTGGGGCTTGAGGACCATTGGTGCATTCATCAGGTGTGCACTGTTTTGATAGGTGAGGCCACCAACGTGGAAGCGGTTTCAAGCAGCACTTTGTGGGCCGTTATGCAGTTTCCCTCTCCTCGTGTGTTTAGTTAACGTTTCTCCAGTCCAGCCCACCTCCCAGGACCCAGGCTCTTTCCTGTAATACACAGAGCACACTGGATAGATAGGCTTCATGGTCAAGGGCCACAAAAAGACAGCCCTGTTGTGCAGATACTCCAACAAACTGTCTGAAGACCGAGAGAGTAGGATTCCTGCCTCCTTGGTGACATGCGAGCATACTTTAAACATTCTTTGAGTCTAAGTGTCCCCTGGTGAACGGAGCTGGTCGGGGAGGCCATGGAGATAAGGTTGTCTGAGGATGTTCAGCTGTTCCTTCCGTCCATCCATTGCCGCTTCTGTTTGTCCCAGGTGCCCTGTTGTCTCTGGGGTCCTGATGGTTGATGAGTGAAGCTGTCCCCTGCTCTGCAGCTTCTTTCCTTCCTAGGAGATCCCCAGCACATGATCAGCTGATAGCAGCATGAGACCTTTTCTTAGGCACACACTGAGGGACTTAAGAGTCTCATTCAGGGTTTTCCAAGTTTGCCTTACCTCCAATACCATTTTGATGTCTACTAAAACACAGCTTCCTGGATCTTAAACCTATGGCTTCAGACTTTTGGGGAAAGGACAGGGAGCTAGCACTGGTTAACAAGGCCCAGTGTGGTGCTTCAGATACAGAGGTTGGTGGACACTTGGTACTTGACAGAGGGTTGGCTGTGGAGGATCCAGAATGAACAACAGCTTTCATGGGGAACCTTCTCTTGAGGACTTCTTCACCCTGGGCAGTTGGGGCAGGCTGCCAGACAATAACTGGACCGTGTCCTTGGGGTCTTTTAGCCTGAGTTGCCAGTATTGAAAACACAGAGTTGCCTGGGGTCTCAAGGCTGGTGTCTTGACTGACCAGATGCAAACTCTCAAGGAAGCCTTCAAACTAGGACTGCCCCGTGAGTCAGTTCTACAGTCATTAGGGACCTCACCCATATTTCCTAAATTCCCCGTTTTGGGTCTTGTCCCATCCATCACTAGTTCTGTCCTTGGCAATATTCCCAGGCCCTAGATTCTCCCCCCAAGGCCCCAACAAGAACCAAGAAGTGGGCAAAGGGTCTCTATATCTCTGTTCAGACTCTGTAGTTTGGAAACACAAGTGGAAGACCTTTTCTGTATCTCCACATCTTCCCTATGAATAGTTCTTCTCTATTTCAGCTATAGATCAAAACTTATCTGTCTTTTAAAATGATAGGGAGCTTAAAACCTCTTCCATGAGCCACAGCTATATCCCTAGCCTTTCTGGTGACTGTACCAGGTCTTCAAGATTGGGGAAAAAAACCCAGGTTTCCCAGCAAGACTTTGTGAGTCACCTGCTTACCTGCATATGTCCTGTTCTCCTCAGTCTTTGAACTACAACAGTAGTAACCATTATAGAGCTACCAGACAATGTAGGGAATCTTTGATTTTGATTTTGTTTTTGTTTTTGAGACAAGGTCTCACTATACTGCTCAGGCTAACTCTGAAACTCTAAACTCCAAAGGCTTCAGCATCCAGGAATATTGGGATTACAGGTATATGTTACCAACCTGGCTTCATTGTAGTATCAGATCCAGGTTCTGTGCCACAGATTTTATACATACCATCTTATTTAACTTCAGGATAGCCTCCCAAGTACATTCTATTCTTAGCCTCTTTTTATTGGCTAACAAGCCCAGATTTAGAGAGGTAATATACCTAAGGTCACACAGGTAACCGAGCCAGCATTGACTCCAGCAAGGCTGCCTGACCACAAAGTCCTTGCTTTTAACCACAGTAGCATTTGCCTGTCTGCAACATTCACTTCCTTCCAGCCCTGAATGAGCACACACCCCATGCTATCTTTTCCTGTTATCTAACGGTTTATATGGACAAGAGGCTGTCAGTTTAAACAGGCCAGCCCCATGCTGGGAACTGACTGCCTTCCACAAGTCACCCAGGTATCCATTCATCTTGGACTCTAAGGCCCTGGGAGGAGAAGCTCTCACAACTCTAATTACCCTGACTACAACTAAACAGCCCTCATTGCCAGGAAGCCCTTTATGTTTCATCTTTATGGGTCATGCTACACACAGATTTCTGCTCCCCTCTCATCTCCAGCCCTAGGGAAGCAGTTTCTGAGTTCCCAATAGTGCCTCAGAAAGGGAACTAGGATCTCAGTGCTAGAGCTTGGCCACTCAAGAGCTGTGTGATTCCCTGAGCCTCTTTCTTCATCCGTGAAACGGGTGCATACCTGCTTAGCTCACTTAAAGTTTTCTTGCATTAGCCGGGCGTTGGAGGTGCACGCCTTTAATCCCAGTACTCAGGAGGCAGAGGCAGTTCCAGGACAGCCTTCAAAACAATACAGAGAAACCCTGTCTCAAAAAACCAAAAAAATTATTGTATTAATTTTATTTATGTGTATTGTGTGGGTCTGTATGAGTATGTGCATGAGATGTGAGTTCAAGTGTTTTGGATCTATCCCCTTGGAGAGACGTTACAGGTTTGCAGAACCACCTGATATAAAGGCTCTTAACCTCTGGGTCATCTCCCCTGGCCCCTCACAGGGTGGTTTTAAGAATAAATGAAAAGTTGTCTGTAAAATGGCTCACAATGGGTGAGTGGTACAGGCCCACTGAAATGAAGTTATTATTATTTATGGCCATCAAACTAAATGTTAGATCTGTTTGACTACACGTGACTTCCTGCCTTGTGTCTGCATAGATACACCAGCACTCAGCGGTAGTTTTTGTCTGCAGGCTGATCAGGTCTTTTTTGGTGTATACTGCCTGTGAGCCCTGAAAGCAGACTCAGCAGCGATACTCAAGGAGGCAGTCTTCTTCACCTGTGGTCTGAGTGGGTCTCTACCTGATCTGGCAAGAAGGAAATGTCACCCTGGTGCCTCAGTCTTCACTAGTAAATAAGTGCATAGGACAGGGGAAAGGGAAAGGGAATCTCATCCGATGGCCAGGGTGGGGAAAGGGACAAGTTAGCAAGGCAGCTTGCCCATGGTACCAGAGATAGGGAGGAGGACGTGTCTCCCTGCTGTTTCTCTCTGGAGACTGTTTGGGTTGGAGTATAGCCCTCTGATCCTGGGCGCTTGGAGACAGGGCAAGTCACTTGTGCCTTGAGTCTGAGGGAGAATCCAGAATGGGGTGGGTCAGTCCTCTCTGTGTGTCTCAAGACCACCTACAAAGATCCAATGACTTCATTGCCGGAGAAGTGCAAATTAGATTTATGGCATCACCTGATTATACTTCCGTTCAAGTGAGGGTGTGGTGGGAAACAGGCAGAGTAACAATGGGCATTGTAGAGTGGAAAACGAAAATGACTGGATATCAGGGACATCCTCAGGTGGGAAACCAGATTGGGGGCGGGGCAGGTTGATTCAGCGACTTTTAGACCTGAAAGATCTGAGCTACAAAGAAAGGCAGATCTCTGGGCTGGTCGATTGGAAGCATGAGGACTCCTGAAGGTCCTGCCTCCCTTCCAAGATAGTTTCTCCACTTACTCCTTCCACTGGTGCACAGATAAGCATGTGTCTGTGCTACAGCAGGCGATGCAGTATCGGATCGCAACAGGTACAGCAGCTCCGTAGCTCAAGATGGAACCAGAGCCTTCTGAAAAAGTTTCAGTGAGGCAAGTGAGATGGTTCAGGGGTTGAGGGCACTTGTTACTAAGCCTGATGACTTGAGTTCTATCCCGGAATCTACACAGAGGACGGGAAGAATCAATTCCTGTAAGTTGTTCTCTGACCTCTACATGAATGCTGTGGAGTATACACACACACACACACACACACACACACACACACACACACACACACAGTAAAATGTTTAAAAAATTACAGCAAAAACAAAACTTTATAATGTCGTAACTGGTATCATAAAGAACCAGAGGAGACTGGCCTGGGCCAGGAAGTCTTTTTGGAAGGTTCTGCTGGATCTTGCCTAGACTTAAAAACCCGTGAATCAGGATTGATGGGCATAGATGATGTTCCAGTCACTAAGTGAGCAATTTAGCTTCTATAGTGGTGCCGAGTCTGGTAGCTTTCCAGACACTTCTCCAAGCTGCTGAGGCATGACGACAAGAGGGCAGCTGCCTAAAATCATTCAGTAGAATTTTATAGGGGCCAAGAAATGCTGGACCTTATAGAAAATGCCACTATCCAGATCCAGGTTTATCTCCTAAGAACAGTGGATAGTCACTGAAAGGTGTTCTTTAAGGGGTGACATGATCAGATCTGTGAGTCTAGATACCTGGGAGATGGACTACAGCCATCCAATGGGAGGTGATGGTAAGCCGGGTGGTGGCAGTGGGGGTACAGGGAGGTGTCAGGCTTCAGCCTTGGGGATAGAATTTGAAGTTTCTTTGGGTGGAGACGGGCAGGGGATAAGAAGGAGAGGTCAAGGCCAATGCCCGGTTCTACTTCAGGCAGTTGCGGGGGATGCCATGCCGGGAGAAACTCTGAGATGCCTTTGTTTATAGTTCTTCAGGTCCTTGTCACCTCTGCCCTGTTGCCAGAATCCCGCACAACTGGGGTCTGAAACCAGAGGGTAGAGAACAGCTGAGGCCAGCT